AGTTGATGTTCACTCTGACACTGGAACCCATTACCGTTCGCTTCAGACTTCATCGCGTTATCCACTCATCTACTGAGTTCTCATAATCACTTTCATGTGCTATCCATCTTTGCTTATAATGCTTGTGAATTAAGGTATTATAAAGGCAAAACGCATAGTATGCACATATGCCAATAAGAGACTGGTCAATTGCAGTCCTAAACATCAATGAAAAGATTTAAGTAAACAATACCAAGTGTAGCATATATATATATATATATATATATATATATATATATATATACATCAGAAGAAATAATGGTCAAAAACAGATCTCACTGAAAATAATAAATTCTTCAACATGAGTGGACGTTTTATTTTCGAATAATCAATTAAAAACGGAAAATAAAAAATCTTAATTTTGAAAATTTTTATAATTTTGTTACTGAAAATAATAAAAGTGGTTTCCAATAAAATCATGAATCGATCAATTTTAGACGTCCATTAAAAGCCTGGAAGTATTAGACATCTGTTTCGTACTAGTATTAGACTCTTCATCGTAGATTAATTGAAGTTAGGGACTAACGTCGTTGGATACTAGCTCAGTGATCCAGAGGTGGGTCTGAGTCCCGGGTACAGTATCGTAGATGCGTACTTCTGAGGAGTCCTATACTAAAACAAAATGGCTGTCCAGTGCTTTCAGGATTTTAATGATAGTGTAATACTGATCGGCTTATGATTTCAATGAAATGCAACAATCACTACAATCACATACTGAAAATTAATAGTTTTGGTGAAAGTAAGTTCTAGTTCTCATGTAACCATAGGAATTATATTTTAAATAGAAATGTTTATTATTATTCATATGGTAACACAATCCTCTGTTATTTTAGTCATATGTTATACTCATTAAGTTAAATCTATGTTTTATTTCAAAAGCACGTACATATATATATCTATAGGGCGGCTGAATGGAGTTGATGAAAAGCACAAGGTCTAATTTCGCTGTATCACACCCCTTTTAATATTAGATGTACATTTCAATCGAGTATCTATTGACACGAACATTACTCCTTAGTAAATTACTAAATCACTTATCCATGTGGCTGTAATGAGACTAAGATAACATAATATTAACCCTTTATAAGTTGGTACATGTTCAGAAAGAATTAATTTCAACCAGTAGTTTCCTTTAACTCATTAAGATCCTCAACATGACATTATTTTGAAAAAGATTGCAGATCATAAGAGAATAATGTCAATATGTAAAGAATTGAATGATAATAATAATAATAATAATAATAATAATAATAATAATAATAATAGATTTCAACTACATTAGACAGTTTATTTCCTAATGAGTTTAAACAATCCTTCAGTTTATATTACTTTGTTAGTTAACAAGCACAAATTTTATTTGCCTTGATACTTTTAAACAGAGTATGGAAAAGAAGAACTGTAGGGTAGAATTGTTTTAATGTCTTTGTTTCCAATTCAAACAAGTTGAATTAATTTTAAAAGTTGAATTCACAAGTAAATCTAAGCTAGACTATCAGTGAACACCCAGAATCAGTGGACAACTGTTTCGTCCTAGTATCAGAATCCTCAGCAGTGTAAATCCACAATCTTGAACGCGAGACTCGAACCCAGAACCTTCTGTTTCAAGCGTGGACGCCTAACTTCTAGAACACTAAGCCGGCACCTAGAGATGTTAATTAACTTGGAACTAGATAACAGTTCAAAAGTATACACAGAATACTTGAAATTGCAGCATATTTATTCATGTGGTAAATCTAATATAATAACATAAGGAAGGTACTGTCACAAATATTTACAATACTAACAATATACATGAACTGCTGAGTAATCGAATAACATAATTCGATGGAAATTAAATCAACTAATTATGAACGGTAAAGTTCATCCATTTCCAGATATAAGACAGTTATCACCAACAAGATACAATGATTCTCATATTACATACAGGACTGATTGAAGTTCGTGATTTAAAGTATTGGTTTCTGACTCAGTAGTCTATAGGTGTCTAACGTATTGCAAAAGCATGTAACTCCAAGTTCCATTTTACATGTAATCAAGCGTGTATGTGTCATAGGCTAAAAATTCTTGAAATAAAACAAAATAGTTATATAATTTGATTGTTAATAAAATGTTTTGGAGGGAAACGGATAGAAGTGATTTCCTAATGTACAACTAACTTCATTATTCTAACATCAAAACTATACCGTTCAAATGAAACGATGAAAAAAGAGACTTTTTCAAAAACAATAAATGAAATAAAGACTTTATAACTATTCGTCTTCTCTTAGTGATGATAAGAAAAGATTATATATATACCTCCCATAATATTGAAAAGAAGACAATAGAATACTTTGACAATCCAGCCAACCCATACATAATAAGCTTGATGATTTAATGGAAAATTTTAAAAAAATAAAATTTTCTTGGCATTCAATATATTTAAGTAATGCATAAAACTACGTTTATTCGTGGGATATATAGTTATTACACTGGATTACTCTCTCAATTGATCAAAAACTTCGACGTCGACCAATAATAGTATTAAGTTCATATCAGAAACCTGTGAAACTTTCAATAAATTAAGTATGACGATTTTTTCATTCTAATGTGGGATTCGTCAGCAGTGCGCATCCACGATCCCGCCTCGCAAGATTTGAACCCAGAACCTATCTGTCCCACACGCAAACGCCTAACCTCTAGACCAATGAGTCGACATCCAACGGTGTTAATTTGCAACTTCAACTAATCCACGAAATTGAGAAACACATCCACCATTGTCTTCAGTGATTTACTATCTCACAACAGATGTGGTTGAACTCTACTGGTCACTGCTTCTCATTAGAACTCCAGAAAATACCTCTTAAAGCTAGTCACTAGCGAGCATACGATGATTATTATCAGAAAAGGGTTTCGTGGATATTATAGTAATTCTATATGATCTAACAAGAAATGGTGTTTAAGAGTTGAATGTTTAAGTCAATTTAAGGAAAAATCCTTCTTCTCACTTCTCATATTTACATATATATATATGCCCTGGTACGGCCGAGAGTGGAGAGAGTCACCTCTCCCTCTAGAAATGCTCTCACATGGCCACGCGAATATATAGCCTCTGTCAGGGAAGTCCTAATCACTGCCTTCTCGTGGGACCGGTGTTGTTCACGAAAGTGAGAGGACGAAAAGCGAATGTCCGGCGCTTTAACCGGGTTGATGGACATGGAAAGTTCACCTAGGGGAGTTGGAAAACCCTGATTCCAAACCAGTGGTGCATATGGGCTCCAGTATCCTGAGGGAACAAATGGCGTACGAATCAACCGTTGATCACCGGCTACCATGGGACTGCATCTCCTCACGATGCTCCACTGCCTTGTGGATCAGACATTCAGGTCAAAGGCTCGGGGTGTGGCCCCCTAAGAAAACCACCTGCTTCAGTTTAGCCACCTGGGCAGTATCTCAGCCCTCACACAAATCGAATAAGATTTGTGAGGCGCATATTTATCTGGTGCTTCCTTGTATCAATATTTATGTGTTTAAATAAATAAATAATAAATAATATATATATATATATATATATACATACATATACTTACACAAATTGCTCTTCTAAACTATGTAACACTTATGAACACAATAAGTAAGTAGTATTGAACCAGAAATCTACTCATTCTCATAGTTAAGCACCACGGAACAGATTTTGACTGGAATAAAATTCTTCACTGGTAGATGGTGTATTTTTTTGATTGATTATTTTTTATTATTTTTGAATAAGTACTCAACATAAAAATCTAACGAAATAAAAGTTATTAGTATAGATATATGTCATAGGCTTAAAGATGTCCCATTGACATAACGTGCAGTTGAAACTGACAAATTAGTTTATATTATTCTTTGTGAATATAAAATACCTTGTATCTGGTTACTAATGAAGTATTCGACTGAAACGATGTATGGTACTTCAATATAATTGCTAGCCATTTTAGTCAGCTATTGGTATCATCTGAAAAACTGTTGAAACCACTAAGAACTCGAGTAGTTGTTTAATTCTACTTTTATGAATACATCGGAAATCCTAACAAGACTCCAAACGAAGTTAAACTGTTAACTTTAAGGTTTAGAGACTAGGTAGATAACACTGCATCATATGGCCAAGATATAAACGTTCACCTCTTGAAATTTATTTAGCTTGATTTGTGGACAAAAGACCATTGAAAATCAAAGATCATTTTACTATCAGTTTCGTTTTCGTTTAGGTACCTATGACCCAATCAAGAAAAAAATAACCCAGAGTTTTCAAGCATCTTAACGAGATTGTTGCTTTTCGATTACTGAAACAAAATCGATTAGTCTATATTTCCGAATTGCCACTTAGTTCGGAGTAATATGTAATAATTATTCTATGTCACTGGAATATAACTATTTCACAGTTTCTTATCTGAAATTTAGAAATCTGCACCAACTCCAGTCATTAGCATGTTGAGTTTTATAGCTCAGCTGATAAGTGTATTGAGAATAAGTTTAAGTACAGAGAATTTCGTTCTAGCTTGTAATAAAGTACAATCTATCTTGAATATTTTCAAACATTCGTTGTAATCCTTGGTATTCTTTGTGTTGAATCCTCCCATTAATGTTTAGGACTGCAACTAGTCATTCTCTAATTGGCATATGTGCATACTGTGCGTATTGCCCTAATTCACAAGCATTGTAAGCAAAAATGGATAGTAGCTAGCAGTGGCTAGAACGAAACGCGCATCCTGGATTTCACTGCTAGCCACTATCCATCTTTGCTTACGATTCATTGTACTGTTTTCACTTAACTCACTGAATAGATCATACACTTCAACCAATCCTAAACGTTACTAGGATTGGAAATATATTGGGTATTACTTTCCATTATAAAAGTATTTCATATTATTATGTCTTCAAATAAATCTTTGTATTGACTCGTTACTGTTTGGTGATTCTTTATTTTTTTTTATTTTTTTAAGATGCCGAAAGTACCGATGATATGAATTTTGAAAAGAAAGCTTATCATTTCTTTCGATTGAAAAAATCAGACCAATGTCTAAGTATTCCATATAGTATTAAACAAATGATTCTTAGAGTGAGTTTTATTCGTTAACCACACATATATCAATGCTTGTTTTGTTATTAATGATGGTTATTCTGTCAGTTTTCAGACTCTGAATCCCTTTTTAAAAAAATAAAGATAAGAGTTTTAAAGCCAAGAAGATTTATTTTCATTTCAAATATTTTGATGTAAAAGAATACTCTCTAAATTGAATGGTACTATAGACATACTATAGAGATATCATCTCACTGAAGACAAATAGTGAATGGTTGTTCAAGCATCGTGGATTAGTTGAAGTTAGACATTTACACCATCAGATGCCGGCTCAGTGGTCTAGCGGTTAAGTGCTCTGGGGCGAGACTGGTAGGTCCTGGGTTCGAATCTCGTGAGAAAGGGATCGTGGATGAGCTCTGTTGAGGAGTCCCACAACAGGACGAAACGAACTTCTAGTGCTTTCAGGTTTATCATGGTGGTCTAGCTTCAATTGACCCATGATTTCAACTATGAAAATACTGAAATCTCCACAAAACCCCTTCTGATCTATAGACTTTGATTGGATGAAAGTTGAAAATTTCAGAGAAGTTTTGACAAAATCCCGGTTTTTTCTGGTGTTTTGATGTATCCATAGAATAATTAAACTTCTTGAATCATTTCGTTTTTGATTATTTAAATTTGTGGTAATTTGAAGAAAAAACTTACACTGGAATAAACTTACTTGTTGACGCTTGTTATTCCTCGTGGAAGAGAATAGGGCGATCACCAACTCTGTCCTTTCCAATCGGTTCCAATTGCTATTCATTCTTTTCATGTCTGCTTCCTATTCCTGACGAAGTGTGTTCTTTGGTGTTCCCCTTTTCCATTTCCCTACAGAATTCCAGGTTAGCGATTGTCTAGTAATGCAGTTTGATGATTTCCTATCCACTTCCAACGTCTTTTCCAAATTTTCTCTTCATCTGGAAGCTCGTTTGTTCTCTTCCACAATGGGCTGTTGCTGATGGTATCCAGTTAACGGACATTGAATTTCTTGTGTAGATAGTTGTTTTACAAATACTTGTACATTTTTGATGATGGATGTTGTAGTTCTTCACATACTCCAGAGCTTCTCCATCAAATGTGATTGAGTTGAATACTGATCTAAAGCAAATGTATTATTTCTATGAACAATTGAATTATTTATGAACAGATTTTTTAATCCAATAAAGTTTGTCACTGAGGATAGATTGTATTCAGACATATATTGAAAATGTGAAAGACGGAATTTCATTAAATGATCTTTATGAAATGTAGTCTCTATAAAGTTTCACAACTTTGACTTCAATCCACTGAGGATTCATAACGTATTGAATAATGTGAGATTCGATATAACGATGAGACAACTATCTCAATAATGTGCTAACAGAAATCTATCACTGATGAAATTTTTTTGAAATCATTCAGCGAACACCTCATTGCCATGGTTACACGTCATACTGATTAAGTTAGCAAACATATTTGGAATAAAAGGACATTAAACAACATGGAAATAGAGTGATGACAACTTAAATTCAATTGGTACTGTTTGTTTGAATCTTCCCATTGATGTTTAGAACTGCAATTGTTCAGTTTCTTATTGGAATATGTGCATACTGTGCGTTTTGACTCGATATAGTCTTAATTCACAAGCATTATAAGCAAAGATGGATAGTGAATAGTAGTGGAATCCAGGATATGCGTTTCGTCCTATTTGCACAAGCAAATGGCTATGAGGACTTAGTAGCTGAGTGGATAACGTGATGGCATCTGAAGCAAAAGGTACTGAGTTCTAGTCACAGATTGAACATCAACTCTGAGATGGAGGTACATCCAGTTGCCGAGTCCTAGATAGGACAAGACGCGCATCCCGAATTAAAATGCTAGCCACTATCTATCGATCACAACTTAATCTTATCAGTGTTATATCATGGAATATTTAAAATTAACAATGAGCTATGTTTTATCAATGAAAGTGCTCTTTGTTCATGTTCTGCTTGCTATTCATATCGTTTATTGCATTTTCTGTATAATGAAATGGACAAGTGATATACTACTTATTTATAAACTAAAGAGTTTATACAATGTTATTCTAATTCATTCGAATTTGTTATAGTAACTAAATGGAATCAAATCAGTGAATGTTTTAAATCATTAGAGTGAATTCAGTACTTTAGTGCAAACAAATGATCATCTACTAGAGTACAACTTCAAATTTGTTATATTAAACTAATGACTTACTTCTTTAATGGAATTAATCAACATGAAAGTATGACAATTAGTTAATCAATAGGCATATTTGACCGTCACACTTTATCATAACAATGAAAATTAAAGGATATTGATTCAATAACTTATCAGCATCATTCCTATAGTAAATATTCAATATCCTTATGTAATCATCTTTGAAATCATTGATGTACACTACTGTAGTGTTCTGAAATAAGACTAAATTATATGTTCATTACTTTCTATCTCATCCTTCCTTTTTTCAAATTAGTCCAAATTCTTGACAAATATTATTCAGAAGGGGATTTGTGAAGGTTTCAGTATTTCCATAGTTGAAATCATGAGTCAAGTGAAGCTAGATTACCATGGAAAACCTGCAAATACTCGACGGCCGTTTCGTCCTATTGTGGGACTCTTCAACAGTGCGCATCCACGATCCCTTTCTCACGAGATTCGAACCCAGGACCTACCAGCTTCAACTATGAAAATACCGAAATCTCCACGAAACTCCTTCTAATTATAATCATATGCTCACTAGTGACTGACTTCAAGAGATATTTCTTGGAGTTCTACTTAGAAGCAATGACCAGTAGAGTTCAAACAGATCTGTTGTGAGATATCAACTCACTGAACACAACTGGTAAATAGTTGCTCAATTTCGTGGATTGATTGAAGTTAGACATTAACATCGTTGGATGCCGGTTCAGTAGTATAGTGGTTAAGTGCTCTGTCACGAGACCGGTAGATCCAGGGTTTGAATCTTCTGAGGCTGGGTCGTGGATGTGCACTGTTGAGGAGTCCCAAAATAGGATGAAACGGCTGTCCAATGCTACCAGGTTTTTCATGGTGGTCTAGCTTCAATCAACTCATGATTTCAACTATGAATATATTAATCATACACATTGAAGAAATCTCTAGGACCCGCCAAATTGAATATGTATGAATAAATGAGCATACAATATATATGTATATGCTAACAACAAGTAATCATCATAAATCCCTATTCCCCCATCTATTTTCATGGATATTACAAAGACCAATGTTTTCTTTTCATGGTTGACCAGTTGAATTTCATTATTCCATAGGACTTAATAAATTTTCCCGGGTTTTTTTTTGAAGGGTTTTATATATTCATGAATGTAATATATATGTGTATGGATAAAAATTACCTTAGGTGAATAATTTATCCCCAAGAGAAATAAATAAATTATGTAATGGTAAAGCTGTAATGAGTTTATACTTCATATCATGTGTGTATACATAATCATAACCAGGTAATCTAATTACCATGGTCACAATAAATGGCTTCATTATTATTGTATAGATTTATTGTAATCGGTTATTCTACAAATCTGTAAAAAATTTATGAAATTTAGATTATTCAGATGACCTTATTATATATTTATTGTTGATAACATTGGAATGATATTGATCTTTAATTTTTGTAATAAACTTAGATGACCCCATTAAACATGCAAGTGACTATCAGGACTCAATAGCTGATTAGATAACGCGATGACGATGGAGTCAAACGGTAATGGGTTAGAATCACAAAGTGAATATGAACTCTGAAATGAAGGTACATCCAGGTGACGAGTCCGAAATAGGATGAAACGTGGTTCCTGGATTCCACTGCTAGTCACTATCCATCTGTGCTTATGATGCTTATGAATTAAGGGAAATATCGTGGCAATCCGCACAGGATCCATATATGTTATTAAGAGACTGAACATTCGCAGTCCTTAACATCAATGGGAAGATTTAAGTGAACAATACCAAGTGAATCAATAAATATGAATAATTTATTTGTAAAATCTCAGCGAATGAATTTGAAATAAATCCAACGTTTTGGCCGGTACTCTGGTCCTAGGTTTTTCAAGGAAATATTTCCTTGAATAATTAATTCAAATTCATTGGCTGAGATTTTACAAATAAATTATTCCTATTTAATGTCTTAGATCAACTTGGCGCCTAAAATACTGTGAAATTAATCCCTCTAATTTAGACGAAAGTGTAACGCTGATAGAACTAAATCTGCTACTAAGCTTGAGGTCAATAATTATTAAATTAAACCGACTATCCAGAGAAATATAAACAAACTTGCTGACTTCTATCTATGTTATCTACTTGTTCTCTCATTTTTTCGTTATTTTTATTTAATTGACCCATCCTAATATATGATTGACTTGTTCAAAATCTGTATTAATGCACTAATATACCATATATTTTTCAAGCCTTTGTGATTTGTGCTACTTATGTCGATGGATATAAGTAGTATCTAACACCAATCGAAAGTGGAACGCCTGGCAGAAGAAGGTTGAAAAGATCGAATAAAAAAGAACAGGAAGAAAGAGTGATTGGTATAGAAACGAAGGAACGACAGTGTCTGAGGCAACTGATTGATATTGTACAAATACAGTACTGAACATATGGTATTCACATTTTACTAAATAACTCTGTAATTTTGTGTTCAAGTACATGTAGTTGTTCCTACCTGTGTTCTCGCTCATTACATTTCTCTTATTTTCTTACTATAGTTTCCAGGTGAATCATTTGAGTAGTTGAATGACATAGTGATCAACAAAATTCTATTTAGGCGGAAATCAAAAGTTCATCATCATCATTATTTCAAACATGTGGTTTACCTTTTACATTGTCCAAGCAAAGGTTCCTTACATGATGAGTTCAATGTTGATATCTTATAAATCAATTTGTTTATTTCAATAAAGAAATAATAATATTAAATTATAATTTGATTTCATTTATAGGAACCTTCTATTTTATGCCCAGAAGATCGTGGATTCCTTGGATTATAACATTTGGATCACATTTAAGATCCATTCTATTTACGGTAATATCAAAAAATTATTTTAAAAAAAAAACAGGAAGACAATGATAATGAAACATATTCAATTAAATTTAATTCAAAAAATTTAAAAAAAAATTCGGATACATTCCTTCTCTATGATTATTATTTTCTTTTCTTATTTACTATGTTCGATATTTTAACTAATGCTTTCTAGTACGTGTTACCATGGAAACAACAGTGAAGGATTAATGTATTGAGAAAATAATGATCGTACGTAGATGATAAAATGAGGAATCGTTATTGATTTTCTTTTCTAAATTCTTTCTAAAATATTTTTTTCTTTTAAAAGTATTTCTCTTTTCTTTTTCTTTTTTTCTTCTTTTTTGTTGTTGTTGGTGTAGCTGTAATCCGAATTTTCATTTAACTCTATTCATTAATTGTGATGAAATCAATAAATAAAATGGTTGAAACTGTTTCTTTTGTTTAATTAAAAGAAGTACTAATGATCATGGAAATGAATTGATATGCTGAACTAAGGATTATATTTCAAAAGGGAATGATGTAAAGTAGTCTGATGTTCGATAGGGAAAAATCATTCACTAACTATCCATATATATGAGTCTGAATAGAAAAACAAATACTTAAATAAGCAAAGATGGATAGTTTCTGGCAGTGGATTCCAGTACGTGCGTTTCTTTCTATTTGGGGCTCGTCAACTGGATTTACCTGCATCTCAGATTTGATGTTCACTCTGGTACTCGAACCCAGTACCTTCAAACGCCATCGCGTTATCCACTCGTCCACTGGGTCCTGATAGGCACTTGCTTGTGCAATGGGGTGAAGCGAAAGGTAACGGGTTCGAATCACAGGATGAACATCAACTCTGAGATGCAGGTACCTCCGGCTGACGAGTCACAAATAGAACGAAACGCGCATCCTGGATTCCACTGCTAGTCACTATCAATCTTTGCTTATCATGATTGTGAATTTAGGCTATATCGAGGAAATACGCACAGTATGTACATATGCTAATTAAAGATTGACCAGTTGCAGTCCTAAACATCAATCAGAAGATTCAATCAGACAATACTAAGTGAATGTAAATACTTAAATAGATTGATAGATGAAAAGATAGATAGATCACTGTCTGTGTTTGTTCTAGGATCGAAAATATCCTGGACCTGTCCATTTTCGGTATGCATGAAAAGAGCATTTGCAAAGAAAAATCGGCAAATCGTCATTTGTGGTTTATAAATAGTACCCCACTAGAAACATATATTGCATCCAGTTATGCGCGCCTCACATAATATAAAAAACATTATCCATATAAACCAATCTGCTTTCTAGTAGGCCATACCGACATTCATGGCCTGAAGAGATATCATAGGCAAAAACTTTTTAAATTTGATATTGAATGAAGATGATTCGCAGGCTAACATCGATGTAATAGTCTAGACAATTTTGAACTCTGATTCTTAAACAGTTGAAAATAATCAAGAAAACTTCTCTCGCACGTCAAGATCACAAAGTAAACGACGCTGAGGTTAAACATAAGATGTTGACTAAAATCGGCAAATCAGTGATTATTTGTTGAATCTTCATTAAGTAAGGCGAGTGAGACGTGTATTATATATGCCCTAAAAACTGTCTACCTTGATATATGATGCTTGGAAGTCAATCAATTTAAAATTTGATGTATCAAGAACATGTTACAGTGAAATCATTGACGAACTTATGAGATTATCTGAAAAGATGAAAAAAGAATAAGTTGTAGGTTTTCTGTCAGCTTCTTTCACCGGAAAATACATACGGGTTTGTTTAGTTGATCTATTTAGCTAATCTATTCGCTGTACTGTTCATGGTTGTCCATTATCCATTTAATAATAAATTAGAGTCCCGGAAATTCAGTTTGACAAAATTTATGCTGAATCGATGTTATCCCGCTTTGAAAAATTTGTTTATTTTTGACAATACACATATCCTATTTCTGTTTCCATTTATTGAGAAATTCGAAGAAGTCTTCATAAGTGAATTCGCTTCAACTGTCTTGTTATTCTGTCGAGAAGGATTTGAAAGGCTGAGATTAATTGAACGGAGTGAACGGGGTGAAGTTTAAATTCACTCGGTATTGTTTGTTTGTCTATTTATTGGGATATAACAAAGGAAATATATATTTGTTATGGATTTTCAATCCAATGCTCAATTTTTTGAAATTATCAAGTCCAACCTTGGCATTGATATCTATGCCCTATACTTTGTTAACAAATCAAATCAAAAAAAATCAAAAAAAAGAAAACTGTTGATTATCGTTAACATTAAAACTGAATCAACACATAAACACATAAACAATTATATTATTTATTATTGTAATCCATATCATCAGGAAAAAAATATTACAAAAACAAACAACAATTCTAGAATGTGAGAAAAAAATGATTGAAGTTAAACAAAAGCACCGTTGGATACCGAATCGGTGGCTTAGAGGTTAGGCACTCTCACGCAAAACCGAAGATCCTGAGGTCGAATCGAGCGAATGGAATCGTGGATGCACACTGTTGAGGAGTCCTGTACTAGTGTAGTAAATGAGAACATGAGTGGGGACAATCGAATGTATTTTAAACACAGCTTACAGACGATTTCACTTAATTCTGATAACCATACAGTAAACAGTAAATTTGCAAAATAGCAATCAGTTATCTCAATCTTAACTGTTCCTTTTGTAAATATCAGTCCATCTTCTATGATTTCATTGTTCATGCATTTTCATACCAATTGCACTTCATTCCTATTCTTTCCTTATCGATCTTCTGCCAAAATACATTCTATGTCTCACAATCACCATATATTACTTATGTGGATATAAGTAGACCAAACCATACTAGAACGAAACTTCCATTCAATGCTTCCAGATTTTTCATGGTAGTCTATCTTTAATTGATTCACCATATACCTAAATTATGTATAAATGAACTTCATTAAACAAAAAATTACAATCTTCCTGTTGTTGTTATTGTGTTTTTTTTCTTTTCTTTGAAATTTGTTCAGTTTACTGAATATTCCGATTAGATTTAATGAATGTAATTTGATTAAAGAGTAAAAAAAATTGAACATTCAAAGTAAAGATTTCCGATGGATTCCTTCTTGTTTTTTGTTTTAATTATGAAATAACAAAGAGTGATGTTTTTTTAAAAAAAAAAAAGAAGGAGGGATTATTAATTTTAGCCTTCTACTTTTTGTATAAGAAAAATGATTATAATGTTGTTTGTATAGTAGAACAAAGTATAAGAAGGGTAGAAGAGAAAAACGATAGACAAAGTAATTGAGACAAATTATTGTTGTCAAAGAAAAGAATTTCAAACAGTTTACAATTAAACACATAAACATAAATAAGCAAAAAATAGTTGAATTTATGCGTCGATCTAAATTAGATTAATATTAAAAACCTGGAAGAATTGGATGGTCTCTTCGTCGTAGTATGAGATTCTTCAGCATTGTGCATCTACAATCCCTAACGTGAGACTCGAACACGGAACATCTGGTCTCGCATACGAACTCTTAAACTTTAGACAACTGAGCTGACATTCAACGATGTTCATGATTAATTTTAACCAATCCACAATATTGAGTAATTAACTTCCATTGTCTTAGGTAAGTAACTGCCTCACACCCGACAAGGTTGAACTGCACTGGTCAAAGCTTCTCATTAGAACTCTGAGAAATACCTTTCGAATCTATTCGCTAGTGAGCACATGATAATTATCATTAATTTTAGCCTTCTATTCTTTGTATAAGAAAAATGAATATGATTTCGTTTGTATTACAGAACAAAGAATAAATCAATTTCTTTTGTTTTAAGAAGTATAGAAGAGAAAACGATAGACGAAGTAATTGAGATAAATTAATGTTGTCAAAGTAAAAAATTTTAAACAATTTACAATTGAACCTATTAACATAAATAAAAGAAGTTTGAATGTCGATAAGAGTGAAACGCTAGTAAATGGATTTATGAGTCGATCTAATCTAGACCAACATTGAAAACTTGGAAGCATTGGACGTCATCTTCGTCCTAGTATGGGACTCTTCAAAATTGTGCGTCTACGATCCTACAAGTGGGACTCGAACTAGGAACATTCGGTCTTGTGCACTAACTCTTAACCTCTAAACAGCTTAGCTCACATTCAACGGTGTTGATGACTAGTTTTAACCAATGCCCCCAAATCCCCTGGTACGGTCGAGATTCAGGAGAGTCCGCTCTTCCTCTCCAAATGCCCTCACACGGCCACGCGTATAAAGCCTCTGCCAAGAAAGTCCTACTGACTGGCTTCTCGCACCAGGGGTGTTGTTTACGAAATTGAGAGAACGAAAAGCGAATGTTCGGAGCTATAACCGGGCCGGTGGACATAGTGTGTCCACCTAGGAGAGTTGGAAAACCCTGATTCCAAACCAATGGTGCACATGGACTCCAGTATCCTGAGGGAACAAATGGCGTATGAATCAATCCTCGGTCACCGGCTACCATGAGACTTCATCTCCTCACGATGCTCCAATGCCTTGTGGATCAGACCTTTAGGTCACAGGCTCCGATTGTTTGCCCCTAAGAAAACCACTTGCTTCAGTTTGTCACCTGGGCAGTATCACAGCCCTCTCACAAACCAAATGAGAATTGTGTGGCGCATATGTATCTGGTAGGTAACTGTCTCACACCCGACAAGGTTGAACTGCACTGGTCAAAACTTCTCATTAGAACTCTGAGATTTACCTTTCGAATCTATTCGCTGGTAAGTAAATGATAATTATCAGTACAGTGTTGTAGAGATTTTTAATTTTCGATTTAGATCATGAATCAATTAATATTATACCACCACTGAAAACACCGGATGACCATTTCGTTCAGGGTTCAAATCCTCCGTTAGGGATCATGGATGAGCACGGCAATGGATTTTAATCTAAACTATGGTTTGAATACAAATTTTACATTGAATTTATTAAAATTTCTTTTGATTTGGG